ACTCGTACGCCACCCGTTTCGTCTTTAAGTCCGTGGGCGTTTCCCCATATATAACAATTCTTCCGGGGTTAGGTTAGGTCATTACTTCACAGAAATTATCCAACTTACTCTGCGAAAAGCAGTCCCTCAACCAATTGTTGCCGAGGGAACCTTAAACCTGCTTGATATATCACCCGTTACATAAATGATGTTACATTTATAGACTATTACATTATACCTTGAGGATCCTTGAAGCATAGCGACCACCCACCCCATCCAGGCACCTGCTGTGCCCAACCTCAAGTTCAACTACTTTGCCAATCTGTAAATTGTTCCGACCCTGCCCCACCAAATCCAACCTCAAACAGCTTAGGAGCTCCACTCACCGTGCTCCCTCGCGCCTGGCGGCCTTCTTGGACTTCTTGGTCAAGAGCCGCTTGGAGCCCAGGAAGACCGCGTCCTGAACGAGAGCGAAACGTGCCCATTGGAAGCAACCGGAGCGTCGTTCGGAACGACGCCGCCTGGCCTCAAATTGCTTAGAGATAGGAATTTTTCATTATCAGAACGCAATGATAGGGATCAATCTCTAATATGCAATTCAAATTCCCATGTCAAATTATGTCAGAATGCAAGCATAATTAGATTATATATTTATAGGAACTGTGTAACACTGCAAGATCCCGTGCTCATGACATGCTGCGGGTGCACGATCCCATCCAATGAAGGCTGTCCTGCTTCTGGAAGGCCTTCTCAGTCTGATCCATGGTGCCTGGTGCCTAGGTCCGACAGTCTCGACAGAAGGCCTTATGACTGCAACTATCCACCCACATACCCCATGGTCACAGTGCCAACATGTGCCAACTCCTCCAGTGCCAACGTTCTTTCGTTGCACCCCCTGCCAATCCATGGGACGTTTCCTCTGCACTGCGGGCATCGTCCGAGGCGCAGCGTGACGGCGCGGAGATCGGGTGAGTGAGGCCACGAGTGGCTGTGCCCTGTGAGCCACGAGGTGCCGCGCGAAGCGCACGGCGTCACGATGCGTGGCAGGCATTTGTCTTTCCGTTCGAAAAGAGAGGAGCATCAGTGAGGAGCATCAGTGGCAGGGCTCTCGAAGCGAAAAAAGAGTTGGCTGGTCAAAGTTCAAAGTTCTACAGTATTACGATGTCTCATGTCCTTTCGGTCTTGTTTGCCTGTACCTTCATGGCACAATGAGAAATCATGGTGACTCGACCGATACTTCCAGTGATGATTTAACGGATGTCAAACTGAGCTCTTGCTCCGAAATTACAAGAACCATAGCAAATTCAGCAAACTTTCTGTGCGATCCATTTAACCCGCGCGTAATCATTGAGAAAGGATATCCCAAAGTCAGACCCTGCCGATGAGGTCCCAGGCTTCTGACTGTCCATCGCATGTCTCACTTGGTGCATCTCCAGCCCAACACACCACTTTTCTCCACAGTGCGCACGAGGGGCGCGTTATGACACCTCACCAGGCGAGACACATCTTCCACGCAGCCAGGGGGCTGGGAAACCATAAGTTGAAATCAACTCCTCAACCACATGTTCTTCAACAAACGCATGCGACACGATTGAAACAACACGACCTGAAGGACCAAGAGAAACTGTTTTTCGCTGGCAACCACTTCAAGAACCCACTGGAAGTCCATACGAGATCAACAACATCTCCAAGAAGAACATTATATAAATACTGCTACTGTAAATCCTGTGTGCAACCTTTTTGTACTCCCGGGAGGAGAGCGGACTTCACACAAACAACAAGGCACTAACAAATGCACAATCTTTCCCAAACGTGTCTACTTGACTTCAGATCTGCAATCCAAGACCTTGAAATAAGAATACGTTATAACTATGTTAAAAAATATATATATATATGTGTGTGTTAAGTTTATTTTACGTTGATTCTCGCGAGGCCGTCCAACCCCCAAATTTGGAAGGTCCCACATATGATCTTTGCATTTTGATCCTAAGACTCCAAGGACATCTCAGAACGAAAAACAACAAACACTGTGCGTTCAGTGTGCCTTCAGCGCTGATCGCTGATGCCGAATATCGTTCAGTCGTGACTCCTCCGCCAAGGAGAGACTCCTCGCACCAGGCATCCAAGAGTCGTTCAGCCACTCCGGTTGTCCATTCACTGGCCAAAGTGTGGGAGTAGAATTATGGCTATATCTTCTTTCCTTCACTAGGTGACATTTCAACAGAACCAGGCTGAACCAGGTCCAAACATGCTATTCAACAAACAATGTGCATACTACACAGATATATATATATATATATTAGATATAGATTATATATGAAAATGTATATATGGACAGTCTCATTGTTGGACTGCCGGTGCTCAAGGTCCGAAATGGACCTATACGATCGAAAGTCCACCTCTCAGGACCACCACCGTCTCTGTCCGCCCAGAAAATAGCAGCTACCACAACGCTGGAGGAACTTCATGCTGGGATTCATGGACATGTCTTCTGAACTGTTTTGTCCACCTCATTCTTTTTTTTGGAGCTTGTAGAATTGTTGTCAAGGATCCACCACTCACAAAATATGACGTGACGAAACCTGCGACACAACCTTGTTCCTCCAACCGTTCTTTCATTATCTTCACACAGCCCCACACAGAAATATGGGAAATCCCAACACACATGATCATACATGCACATATATCATATACACACTAAATGCGACTCCCAGGTACCCAACCCAAACCGCGCTTTGGCCATGCCTTTTTGCCCCCGCACGGGAATCGGCTGGGCCACCCGCACCCGAGCCGCTCGAGGCGACCCAGGAGCTCCTCTTCCAGCCGCGCCAAACGAAGCTCCTGCGGCGAAACGAAGCTCCTTCAGTCGTCGATTCCACGTCGACTCGGACAGGTCCCGGGCCAACACCCGAAAGCAACAAAACATGAAAACGGAAAAACACTGCCACCCAGAAAGAAAGCACAAGCAAATTCAAAGCAACCACAAACCAATGGAACCCAAAGCAACACCGTGTGTTCCAAAACCCGTGGACCGGTTCGGTGCGCTGGAACTCCGCCCGTCCTCCAAGCGTCGGTCTTCGGATTCCTCGATGTCCTTCGGCTCCTGCGTGGCGCAGAGGTGCGATGGATCCATGGGGGTCCGGTCCCAGCACTGAATCCAGTGGAAGAGGGTGACAACATAAGACATGATAAGACACTTATACGTATCTTATAGTCTTTGTGACGACCTGTTTCATGGTTCGAATGTTTCATGTTTTTGTTCACAAAGAATTTCCAGACATTTCCAGAATATACGTACATTTTTGTGACTACGACCCCTCTGAAGTGGGTGTACATGGATACCCCCTCAACAGACATTCCGCACGAAGGATTGAAACGGTTCTAAATTCAAGACGGCTTGTCCAGCATCCAAAAGGACTTGTGAGTGCACATCCTGTTCAGTCGCTCCACACGGCTTCTTGCATGTGCTTGGATCTCGGATCCTGCAGTGACCACTCCATCTAGTAGTCTAGTAGATAACAGCAGTCACACCATCCCCTCACCATGACACCACCATAGACAATTTGGCTCGTACCTCGCATCCCCAAAGGAACGATCACCTGCAGTGACAGCTGAGTGCCAGGCCTCCAACGGCGCTGCAGGTGTGGGTGTGTGCGAAGCCTAGCAACATTGGAGACCCAACGAGGCAGCGGTTCCAGCGGCTCCATGCAAGGCTCGAGATCTTGCGGTTTCAGAGTAGATGGCGCGGGACCCCAAGATGTCTTGTAGATGGGGGGGGTCCATATACACCACCGACCTTGGGGATTGTGCCATCGACTCTCAATTTACAAACAATGCTGGCAGGTGCAGTGGTAGTGTTCCAAGTCATTGCTCCAGGTACAAGCCAAGCCGTTGGCAGGTTCCAAGCCAAAAGAGGAACCATCCCAAGTTCAACCTCGTACAATACACATATAATGCATATATAATATATATAATATACATGGTTAGCTGGCTCAAAACTAAATCAAGGAAACAACAAGACTGCAAAGGGGCCCCGCAAACCGATGCTTCGATTGTGTTGGCTCAGGAAAACCTGATGGCTGTCCACATTCCTATGCAGTTGCCTTTTGGACCTTGATGGTTTGTCCACCATTTCCTGACTAGCTGTTCTCTTTCTTGGGTGGCGTTTCCCTTCCTTGAAATCTTCCATTCCAAAACTCATATGTGTGGTGGCATTTATTTGGTATTAAACTCAAATCCATTATGTGGGGGCCCTATCTCGTTTAGACTACTTAAGTAGGAGGTCATGTCACAGTATCTCGTTCAGACTACTTTAGTAGCAAATCACACTATCTCGTTCAGACTACTTTAGTGTCGTCAAGCAAAAGTATCTCGTTTATGTGGGGGCCTATCTCGTTCACAAGCGAATACTGATGATAGACAATCAAATAGAGCATGCCGTAGACTACTTTAGTAAAGCCTAAATGAGCGTGGTTGCTCATATGCTTTGCTGATGTCCTCTTTCTCTTCTGAAATTGCTTTGCGTTCCTACCTTTCTGCCTATCCTATTGTTTTGTTACACACGAACACGCACACAAAGGATCAGAGAGGACTCTTCCGGTGATTTATTCTATTTTAACCAGCTGCTCAATCATGGAATAGTGTTTCTCTTTGTATGGCTCTTCCTCGTCTTCAGAAAGGCCCTCCTTTTTCCGTGTGAGCACTCAAACACAATTGTTTTCCTGTCTTGGCCCTGGTTGTCACATTCTCACAAGCTCCTTCCTGAGTCTCGAAGATTGGTACGTCAAGAAGGAGAATAGCAATTTGATCTGCAAGAGCTGAACTGACAGACCCAAAAGCTATGGAAGGGAAAGGAAAGCAAACTCAGATCAGGAACGGCAAAGAGCTGCGCTACTTAGTTCTTGAATAGGACAAAACAACTGCAATGAAACCAACACAGGACGAGCTGAAGAGAAAGAATGGAAACGCATCTCGTAGAAACAAAACCAACCAATCACAAAAGGTAAAGGAACTATACTGTAAGTTAGAAGTGGGGCAATTAACTGAAGATTGACAGGTCTTGATAACACATAAGTACGGTATAAATGAGAGATGAGACAAAGCATCGGAACAAGTCAGCAAGTTAACACACCATGCAACACACAAACACATTCAGTCAAAACGGAATGGTTTTGGTTTCCACATGTTTCCACAAGGGCGGCGCTAAGGGTAAGGTGCTAAGTTTCTTCCAAACACTGAGCAACTGTTTGTGTCTTGGGTGTGTTTCAAAAAAGGGACCTTGCAAAGACAGCCTGGAAGAAGGAACACATACCAAAACCCATTCCCTGAAATGCACAACCGTATATAGCTATATATATATATGTTTATTTTTTGTACTATTTATTTCATGTACATATTATATATATACATATATATACTGTAAATACTATATACCCATCATATTTCTACACTGCAAGACTTGCCCGGCCCTTGATCAACCCTGCTCTCTGCACGCCTGCGGAGAAGACACCGGGGAAGGCACTGAAGGCACTGGGACCTGGGACGGGACATCAGAGTGGCTTTCGGAGCAGACCTTGACAATTGATATTGATTACAGTAATTAGTCCTGGATGGCCAACTATGTCCACATGGACGGGAGTATACTGTATTTGTCAGCCACCAATATATTCTAGCTACTCTGTTAGCGTTGGGGTGGCCTTCCGGCTCAAAGGTAGTTCCTGAGCATCAGCCAACAGCCAATATCCATCTTCAAGCGCTTTCAGCTTGACTTGGTGTCCATGGCTTGCAGTCCGCCTCGGTTTTCACTTAGGGCTCACCAGCGGAAAAAAACATAGTTTCACTATAACAAAGCTGGAACTTTACCGGCAAAACCCTTGCGTATCCGGCATGAAAAGCCATGTCCCTGGAATATGGTCATGCAGGAAAAAAAACATGCAAACTGAAACACCAAATGGACCATACAAGCCCCTTCGCCTAAGCAATCATGAGGTCTGCCGCACATGTCATGGAGTTGTTCTGCGCCCAATCAACCCCGAGGCCAGAGTGCATTTCTATTCGCGCCTAGTCGAACATGTCGAATCGTGGGTTGCCAACAAGGTTGGCTAGCAACTAGGCTCTTGCGGAATCTCGCTTTTCGCTAAGATCTCTGCAAGTGTCCCCTGCTGGAAGTGTGGAAATTGAGACAAACAAGATAAAACATAGGATGCACTTGGAAATCAAGGATGCACTTGGAGCCACCTTGGATACTTGCAGTCATGAATCTTAATGCCCAAAGAAGATACAAGTCGACAGCTTATTAATGTCCACTTCACCAAACTTAATTCTTCGTGCTACAAACCCTTTTGATGAGAGCGATGTCAATTCTTGGGAAGATTTCCGTGGATCGCTCTTCTTCAGCAAGCAGGAGAGGTGTTAATCCACCAAGACAGCACTCTTGAACGTATACGGAGAAAGGGATCTGTGGTGATAGCCACCTGTGTCATCTGCAAATCTCCAAACTACAAATATTATAGTCAATCACTACCAATGTTTCGCACACAGCGACGGGTCTAAATTGTTGGCACCCAGGTCGTTTTTGATTGTCAAAGGACCCATTGAACATATCCACACATAACTGCCTGTGTGCCATCAATGTGGCAGCGACCCAAAAAACAGGAGGATGCGATACCCGACTAAGGGTCAGAAATATCATGTTCCAAAAGGCGCAAAAGGTAGCGCCCAACGTTTTGTATTTGGAAGGTCAATCGACTCCACAGTCACGGTCACCGGTGAAGTGCCTACTTGGCGCAGGGAAAGGATCGATACCAAATGTGAGGTAGACAAACAGGTGAAACATATGTCACTTCCAAAGAGCGTGGCTACATGTTTGAGATGTGCCATGCAAATTGACCCTGATAGAATTGTATCAAAGCCTCGAGTAGATAAAGCAGCAAATTCGAAATAGGGGCCGACACCATGCTGTCTGCAAGTCCGCTAAATATGGTTGCGGTTGATGTTTATCTCACGTTCCTGTCAAATCATCACGCTAGAACTCACCAGTTCAACAAGGAAAGGGGTACAAACCTGACAGCTTACGGTGAGCCATAACCGAAGAAATGTGGCTCAACGGACTCCAACGATAAAGGTATAGTGGTCCCCAAATAGATGACAGTGGCCCGTTTTCCAATGCATCTTAAGTGGGGATCTACTTTTCTATCTATTTGGGGGACTACACCCTGGAAGACAAACATGGACCCTGAAAACCACTGGTGGGTAGAGGAAAACACAATTTTTCCAGGAGGCCATTGTCAGGGTCCATGTTAGTTTTCGGGAGTGTAATACAGTATCCAAACTGTTTAACGGAATCGGCGCGACAGTCTAGTCTGCATGAGTATCCAAAATGTGCCCGCCGCCGCGCGGCCGCGTTGTTCAAGGATGAAGTCTGATAACAGGTCCCAACAGACCCCAAAAAATGGCTCATCCTTCAGATCAAGACATCTTACCAATGTTGACCAATCTGATTGAGGTGTGGACTCAAGTTCAATCACATCAACCTCTCAATTCACGAATCACTTTCAACACTTGCAAGATCCTGCTATCAACATGAAGCATTAACGATGTCTTGAAATTATATTTACACAAGCGGAATTGGCATATCAATTGCCGCTCGGCGATCGTCCACTTGAACTGCAGGCACGGAAGTATTCTCCCCGAAAGCTGCTGTCCAAGAGAGCAGCTTTGCTGCAATTTCCGGAACTTACATGGCAAACAAAAACGGCTCGTCCTCATCCACCTCCTGACTGTCGACCTCTGAGACCACCTCTGCCATCTGGTCGATGAAGATGGACTCGATGAACTCATCGAAACTGGGGACGTTCATCGCCTCGGAGCGACCCTTCGCGCTGCGACTGGTGATCCCACAGGCATCTCCAAGGCTCCCAGGTCAGTCTTATCAGAAACCAGGTGTGTATTCCCCTGGAAGGAAACATCGACCACAACCCGTGAAAATAGGGCATTCCCTATTGCAACCCCCAATAAGGTTGGACTCCGACCATGCAGGCTGGTAAACCGAGAGCCAAAGACCCGGTAAGTCAGCTCTTCTGCTTTAAGAGGAAAATGCGAACCAACACTAAAACGATCTAAAACGGATTTTGCTGAAGCCTCTTGAACTCAGTTGCATGCAAGAAAATGTTTACCGTACAGCTCACGTGCTTACTATGTGGTTCTTCTTTGGAGTTGATGTCTTTTCCGAGGCTACTCACCAAATCAAGCCCTGTCTTCGAGCTGAACACTCCGGCTGATGCACGAAGTAGCCAAGATGATGCCAAGTTAAGAAGCCGCGATGAAATGGCCTTCCAGTCTGCATTATGTGCTATATTTAAGAACAAACATGAAACGTATAAGTTGGCATCTGAATGTCCGCAAACAAGCTACGTTCGTCGTCGTTCGTCTATGTTACATGAAAAGAGTAGCGTTTGTACTTGCAAAGCCTTATTAGGTAGACTAATGAGGATGAGGTCCATGGATAATTTTGATGAAGCCATGTCAGCCATGTATTATGAAGCTCCACTCGCCAGCCCATATCTGGTTCAATCTAACAGCGGCTAGCTTCAGGCTTGAAAACAAGTCCCAGCGACCCCTTCAGGAAGCAAACCATCTTGTCGAGCTTCATGCTGCCAACCGTTTCGCTGCCCAACATTTCGCTCAATGGCTGCGATGCCGGCGGCGATGTCGAAATTGTCATGTCAAGCCCTCTCCCGAAGAAAAACACATGCCTTTAAGAGCAGCTCCTTGCTTTACTTGATGTAGGTATACGATCAATTGAACATTCTGCGTGCGATATTCAGAACTATGCAAAACGGACGAAGTGACTAAGGACTAAGTGACAGTTAGTGAAAGATAGCCAGCCAAAACCTCAGATATATACTCATTTGCTTCACAAAACCACAGCCTAGTCCAGTTGCCTTCACTCTTTCACATTGAAAACACATGTTTTCCTATATGGCAACCCCTTTTCTTTGGCAACACCTCCTTGGTTGGACCCCTCACAACTCGTCTCACTGGTACAAGTCACTGCTGTAGCTTTGCCACGTTGGACACAGCCACTGCCAAACACCTTGATGTTTCTCACCTTCCGAATGAGACATGTTCCTTGTTGACCAAGTTCGATGTTTTATCCTTGGCATGTTCCACTTGACCGAGTTGGCATGTTTTGGTGACCTCAAGAAAGGGCAAATTTCTTAAGGTCACCTGCACAAGGCAAGGTTGCTTTTTTTGACGAATCGATCTCTGGCAAAGCTGCTCGCACCCCATGGCAACCTGCTTCGAAAGGCCTTGACAAACTGCAGCTGACCATCCTGCTTGATGATGTTTGGTTCTGGCGACCATCAAACCAATCTTCTGACATCGGATCTTGTCAACTGGCGCATCTCCTGGCGCTGCCGTAGCCCTGCGATGCCCGCCTGCCGCCGCATCTCCGTAGGTCGGCGCCCGGGCCTTTGCAGCCCCTCCGGCTGCAGCCTCCGCTAGTCGGCGCTTCCAACTGCTTCGCTCATCCGTCCACGACTGTTCTCACTGCGACTGGATCCGTAGTTCTCGAAGGACGGCTCAATGGAGTTCACGTTCAGCTCTTCCGAGAATCGGCAGCAGCTTTGGCTCTCATATCTTTGAAGTGCATCGTGCGGCGGATCTCACACTTCACCCAGTCCTTCCAAAGAATGTGCGTTTCTCGGTTTAGCTCGATTGAAAGGTAGCAAAAAAGGCTCTTAAATGCTTGTAAACACCTCTCAGTCACGAGTGAAAGGGACACAGCTTTTTGGCCGGTGGCTCATAGTTGAACCACCATAAGGCCATCATGTCCAATCCATCTAGGCCATGGAGTGTTTGGTTGGATACCAAACAAAGCAGTTGGCTAGTTCTTTGCATAATTTTCGCTACAAGAGTTCTGCATCAGTTCCCTAAAACTGGATGGCCCCCAAACACCTTTCGTCCTTCATTGTCAGTGTCGCCCTGCACCTTTCAGAAACCATTGTACTACTGTAGTAGTTAGTGACCCAAAGCAAGCCGCTTCCTCTTCACACAAATCTTTGCTAATCTATCTACCTCCACAAATGCCAATATTTGGTTGCCAATACCGACTTTGATCCGCCAGGCCACACCCAATCCAATTCGTGCGACCCCGGTCACAATTCGTGCGACCCCGGTCCGGCGTGCTTGGAATGGCCAGCATCAACACCACCACAGCCACCGCCACGAGGTGCTCCAAAACTAGCGAGGTGAACGGGAACCACAGGAAAAGCCAATATCTGGACCTAGACCTAGAGTTTCTATATGTCTTAAGAGAAACTATGAGAAAATCAGTTCAATTAGCTATTGCCTATACAGTATGACAACGGTGGACATGACGAACAATAACAGTCCCCCAAATCTGCCTCGACATCTTAAAAAATAACTTATAAAGGAGAGAACTGCCAATCAATGGGGTCCAATGTTTTTGCCTTGGCCAGGTGGTTCCTGCATGATGTCCCGGCCTGCTGCAAAAAAAATCACATAGCGGCCGGCACCCTGGCGGATGACCTGACATCACCCGATGCGGGTTACCCGGATATTGGTCCAGCAGCCAAGCATCGTTGAAGCAGACTAAATTGGATGAATCAATGACACAATGACATTAAATGACTATGTTACTATTGACTATGTGACCATAATATAAATATTCCACCAATAAATGGCGGAATGCTTTTGAAGATTGCATAAAAAATACTTGGTCTGAGCTGACCCGTGAAGAGCATCCCGTCAAAGAACTACGTGAAGAAGGACTCACAAGGTAGCGTCTGCTGCTGTCTCAGGATTGGTTAAATGAATCCACACAACACAACTCTATAGGATTTGGGCAAAAGTCATGAAATACTCTACCCGGCCTGCAGTTGGGCAATCCCAGTCAGTGTCGGGAGGGTAGATATCCCCATACATGGAGTCCAACTGTGTCAGAGGTAGGTCAAACAAGTCTCAAATTGTAAATGCAAAGATTTGTTTAGGGCCAGCTCACTGACTCTGTATTGGAACTGCAATCCCTACGTTTGGCAAATTGATGCAAATTGTAAGTCATCTGCAATCGCATGCAGAAAGTTCATGGGCGTGGAACGTGGGATTCACGTGTTAGCAATGTTTTATTTATCCCGGAAATAACACAACACGTGAATTGTCAAACAGAACCGTCGGCTAACCTGGATAGTCAACGACCGTCGGAGTTCGGTGCACGACACCGGAATCTCACTCGGTCGCAACGTAACGAGCGCCAAAGGGACCGATCTCCAACGCTCGGGACCCACGGGCCACTTGACCAAAAACGGGGCCCTCGGGAGTGATCTGCAAACCAAGAAGCCAAGTCCGCTGTTCCTGCTGCTTGGTCGACCGCTGAGGCCAAACGTCCTGGTGACGGGGTGGGATCCAATATCTTGAGCAGGTTATGGCATGGTGCATTTGAATATGTTTCATCGTGTTTGGGTGTGTTTCATGATGTTTCATATAAGGCCAGTGTCTATTGACTGCTTTGTTGGCAAAGGTCATCTAAATGTTGGGTTGGTGCTAATCATTGAACTATGTTTTGTATCATATACAATGGTACTTACAATGTTCATCTCCTGAATCACCCATAAACAGGCAAGTTGACCCAAACCACATGGGTATACGTGTTTTTGTTTTTAAACCATCATGTCAAACTACTAAGTAGCCTCTTCCCCTTAGCATCAAAAGCAAACCTTGAAACCCAACATATGTGTATTGACTCGTATTCAGACTGGCTGAGAAGAACTTAGTTCTCGGTCATTTCAGGTGAAAATCTGGCATGGTTTTATAACATGTTCTTTGTCCAAACGCCCCAACTTGCCAAGAATGTCCAATGTTCAAGTCAAGTTGGTGTGTCCCTTCTTTCCCCCCAATGATGTTTGCATGTCTCTCCACTTCGTTGTTGTCCCCTTGGGCTCTACAGTACTACATCTTCGTCGGCGTCCTTGTTGTACATCCTCCAGGCTGGCCTCTCGGTACAAGGAAGGCGTCCAAGAAGCCAATTGCTCACTCATCACGAAGATCATCACCTCGCCCGCGCACGCCTGTCGTGTTCCTTTGGGTTCACGATGGTCTTTTTACGGGTTTCTGGTGCAATGGGGGGGAGGGAGTTCCTGTAGCCAGGTTTGTTGTAGTGGGCACTGCAGCTCGCAGCTTTCAATCTGCACGATGCGATCTGTTTCTTGCAGACTGCATCCTATCCCTCTTCACTTAGAGCCATAACCATGTCCTAGAAACCAGTGCGTCTTACCATACCAGGGTCATTATATCTTGAACCATGAGCCTTGGGGCGCCAATTCCAGGTCTCACAGCCGCAAGAAACATCATCACAAGTCAAGACCCAACGGTGGACAGGCGGCATTCGTGATGATGGAGATGCCTGCGATGATGTGCAGTAGTTGTCTCCAGATTCCTCGGTGGGCACCAAAAGATTCAGGACTGGGATCCGGATGAGGTCGATTTTTTCATGTCTAAGCTTCATAACGTTCACACAGCATCCGAAGAGTCATCAATGAATCAAGATGTTGATATGTTTCTGGTTTTTGCAAACATGATTATGCAAAAAAAATCTGGGCATTGCCCTACCCGCAGAAATACCAAACATCTCAATGGTCTAGCAAGAGTCGAGTACATACGCATGGCTGCGAGTCAAAAGCTGCCCCACCAAATCACGTTAGGTTGACATCCGCTATATATATGTATTATATAAATATGCTAGCCCCCCCCAAAACCCAACTTTTGTCCTTGGATGCAATCATTCAAAAAATTGATATTACTGCGTGCAGATGCAACAGAAGCACTAATTGAGGATAGTTTGTAGATACATATTTTGAAGGTTGCGTTGCATTAGACACATAGATGTATGTGTGCAAAGATGGCAAACGCACCACTTGAATGTAAGTTTGCACCTTGAGTGTTGTACCAGAAGGTTTACATGTTTTTATGGTCTTAAACCTTGGCGCACAAATAACATTGTTTTTGCAGATAAACATAGATCCAACTAATGCAGATGAGTACTGCAAGTAGTAAACAGAAATGCACCGATATTCCCCGAGGTTATACAGTGTAGGCTCAGTTGGCCTCGATGAACTTTGCCATCTCCCAGAAACAGAGAGAGCCTGTGGCAATCCACATGTCCCGGTTGCGATGCCAGTACTCATACTGCGCAGACCGGAGCTTTGCTCGGAGGGCAGCACTTCCGACACGGGATGCCTGGTTGATTTGCAGACGGTCCTTTATAAGAGTCGCCACGCACGATAAATCACTTGAGTTCCGGCCTTGCAGCGGACGAGAGCCTTCTGCCCCGGCACTTTGTGGGCAACAACGCGAACATAGTTTGGCATCTGCGATTTCCACTTGCCACCGTTCTTGACTTTCTTCTTGCAATGAATTACCTTGTCATGCACCACACCCGGGATCTTGCACTTGTAGGACTTCGCAGCATCTGTGTACAGGATCACATGCTTGTCCTTCAGCCATTTGTTGGCCAAAGGTGTCCACTCACTTTTCGGATGGCGCCTGGCCATGGAGCGCGGACCTCTGACATCTTGGGACCAGAGTGGCCATGGTCAGGTCATGGGGTCTACAGTTTTGGAGTTTTGGAGTTTGTGAGGGCCTCCAAAACTCCAAAACTGCACAGGCCTATGTCCCCAGAGTGGCCATGGTCAGGTCATGGGGTCTGCAGTTTTGGAGTTTGGGAGTTTTGTTTGGTTTTCTATATTAATATGATGTTGTTATATACAACAATCTGCATAAAACACTCCAAATACCACTAAATTTGATGAAAGGGTGTTCTTTTTTTGGGGGGGGTACGGGGTACCATATATATATATATTAATAAATAAACATAATATGACAAATACAAACATCTGTTCATTTTGTCGGGTCAACCAAGGTTCCCCAGGGACTAAACACGTGCCAACACGCGACCCAGTGTTTGGCTTCCGCGAGGCAGCCGCCTTAGCCTTATGACTCGACGGCCTATCATCTGACTACGGAGGTTTTGAACCGCGGATCAGTAGATGCGAAACGTATCTAAACGTTGGATCCACGGTCGTATACGCAAATGATCAAACAAGCAACATATAGAAACCTTTGGGGCCTTACGCTTTGCAATGAAAGTCTACACATTCTTCCCAACACTCGGGACCACCCTTTTGATCCCTTTTGCCAAGAGTCCGATGGATTTCATGCGGTGAGAGATTGGTCTCTGATACACCTGGGCTTCAAGTGGATTTCCCCGAAACTGTTCGTTGGCAAACTTATTTGACATTCCAAACATCGTTTGGGGGAGCATGCCAAGAAATCAAAACAACATGGGTCAAAACAAAAACAGTCTTGCTAGCGCTGCAAGACTGTAGTCTTTTGACCTCATTTTGACCCATGCAAATCTGAAGCAAATCCAGGGAGACGCAGGCCAGCTTGAACATGTCAGACTTCAACTCAATCAAATTGCCTCACCGCTGCGCATGGTTTTGACATGCTTTGACCACTGGAGAAGATACTTGCTAGGGTTCTAAGATGTTCTAAGCGTTGAAACATTGCAATCACAACTACACAAGGGGATGAACACATTCTTAATGAAGGAACTGCTGTTGAAACTCGGCTACAGCGCTTGTGGAAGGCCTTACCCCAGGGCACGAAGATTCTGATCTGAACAAAAGTTCCCCATCTCCAGCTCCGGAAACACATTGAACCACGAGGCAAATCCAAAGTCTTGAGCAGGAAACCCAGCCCAAACCAAACTATGTCGGTGTGCGAAAGGGAAGGACAAACACACCGAGTTCACTGCAGTTCACTGGGGAAGTTTGTTCAGTTCTCCAAACCCTGCTTTTGCTGTGGGGAAGTCTTGAAGTCTTGAACGTCCTAAAACTGCAGTCCAGCGGCTAACGAGTGACACTACAGCTGCCAAAGGAAAGGCTGATGCAAAAAGCGTCACATAGCCGAACTCTATGACCTTGGTGAAGCTCAGCACGCTGGTTGAGCAGCAAGGCGAAGGCATCGAACGATGACTACCTCCGGCACCTGGGTTCGGCCTCACCAGAAATACTTCCTCACCTGGCGCCCGGGGCATCTCATAGGGAGACACCCTAATAAAAAACAAAAACACCTAAAAGCAACATCATAAACACCCATGCAAGCAAAATGCATCAAGTGACGTCAAAAGACCACCATAAGAGCACTATATAATATCATAATATATACCTTGCTTGCGTGATGCACAACTCGACTCGACCCGCACCAAAAAACGTGACCGCCCAACCAACGCGTCCGCGTCTGGCGATGTTCGTTCTCCACTTCTCCACCGACGAGGTCGACTTCGACGAAACGACGTCCGTCTCGGCCCAGAAGCCATTTCCAGGAAGTCGTCGAACCTGGGAGAAGTGGTCCGGATGGAGCGGATGACATCGTTTTGTGGACATTGTGAGAACTTGGTGAGAACAAATCATGCTCTCCACTGGTGATAGAACAAGGCATTTTTGGATGTGTATTTAAAACAGAAACTGTGTTTTGGTGCCAATCTATTTTTGGCCATCGTTCAAGGTCGCAAAATCTGTCCAACAGTCGTTTGAAGCCAAATAATGAACATTCCCCTGGTGTCACCTGCCCACCTGCAAATGTCCTGTGAGACCAATTGTGCCCATCTCAGGTTTTTGAGAAAAAGACATTAAACTATCTATATATAATATAACATAACATATATAATATATATATATATACAGTATACATATCTCATCTTATATCTAGGTCAACTTTCTGAATCGTAGCTTCTGAATCGCAGCTAGTTTCTGAATCGTCTTCTGTTCCTTATACTAATCTTCAAACACCAGTGAGAAGGTGGGACTGCTCTCCTTTTTTGCAGAGCATATTCCATCTGTATGGTCTCCTTTTGTAGTAGCCGCCAAACGTGCCGTGTCCACCTACCATCCCACACGTCTTCAAACAAAAACCAAGAAGCTGCTCGTAGTGAGGCTGATCCAGGACCTCCAGGGCCTCCAAAAAATGCGCTTGTTCCAACCTGCCGGGGCAGCTGTACACTTACAAAGGAACTGGAGTGTAGTGTGCTTATTAGAATGGTCTTGGAGCAATTCTAAACAGTCTAGACTAGACAAACTTAAAATCATTAATGATATCAAAGAGACCGGAAGATTAACATGTATCATAACATATAATATTCATAACATCCATTTCAATGGCTGTTAAGATTTCATGAAGATCCGCGGCAGCTCTTTCTCCTCTTTTTTTCTCCTACTATCTATGTGCAACCATGCAGCCTCAAGAGGTCAGTCTAACCATTCCACGAAAAATATAGGAACCACCTAGTAGCTGGCGGCTGTTCGTACAACTAGGGTCAACTAGGGGCAGAAGCTGCCACGGGGAATGGGGACATCTGTATTGCGTCTGCAACGCACCTATAGAAAGGTGTGGACATGTAAATCCGCAGGAGCTTTTCTCCCACTTGCTGTCCACCCCATTTCCGATGCTGGATGATGCCCCTCTTCAAATCGGTCGCATGAGGACCGACTCTTCAATTTGCATTAGGGAAGTCGCAACCTTTCAGAAGCCTCAGGGCCTGGATGGTCAGGGTCCAATGTCATCCAGCACACGGCGCAGTTGAGGCAATGTTTCGCCTCGTTGAAAATCCCTCATCGGCGCCTAAGCGGCTTTGCCGTGAAGATCAAATTCACTGCAACGACTGAAACAGGTGACCAGCCGGAAATCATTGCACGCCTCCAGGAAATCATCACCTCCAAGAGTTTCAGACATCTCCAGCATGCATTTGAATCTTTTTACTCATAGACCATATTGTTCATAGTTGTTGTTTGTATGCACTTTGTATATATATATATATATTAAGCTTATATATTATATATGCATATAAGATCATGTGTATATATATATATGCAGGCTTCTGGAATGCACAGTGAACTCCTTTCGTAGATCTCCAGCGGGAATTTAGCTCCGATCCATGCAAAACCAATTTGCTAGCCGCTCGGCAAACACCAAAAGCGATTAGGCTGGTTTAAGCAGCATCACATCATGCCTCGAACGTATGTGATTGTCACTGCTAAGATCCTGCAGCAGCTAGATATATTGGTAATTGTCCCACCAATTCTCCCACTATTTTACCCACAATACATCACAAGTGTGTGGATTGATTCTCCCCCAGTTGCAGCTGATCGCTGCAGATTCAATGGGGCCATTCCACCTTGGCCAAAGCTCATGCGAAAGATCACGGAAGCCAGTTCAACACTTAATATCTCACTGGCATACTGGCTGGTGCTGGCTGGGTTTTACATCTTGAAGCATCTTGAACAATCTGTGCATAGCAATGCCCTGTTTCTCCACCTACATTCTTGCCTCACCACCTGGCCTCACCACCTGCACCTCGAAGAACGCCACACCAAAATGCCCCCGCGTCGGCGCCACCCCCTGGGCCGGGTGTATCGCCTGAGATCTCCCTAGGCGAGGCGGATCTTGGCCCAAAGCGGGGAATGATCCGCGTAGCCACACTCTCTGGAGATCCCATTGTTGGGCGGAAAGCCGGGCCAGCACGTGCCGTCACCCACAATCTGGCTGGAGATCACCTGCCGAGATGAGTGGACAGGAGAGTACAATGTACAAGCCTTGAGGACTGAACACAGAGTATGACCAGGTGGGAGTGGGAATGGCTTTCATGAATAGTGAACTCTTGTTGAAATCGTGGGGAGCAGGGTGAAACCTGTTTTGAGCTGGCAAAAAAAGAATCACTGTGTTCATCTGTTTGGAAAGTAGACAATAAGCAAAAGGTCCCAACCCCGCAGCACTCAAGCTTCTGTGCATATAGCTTTTCTTCAACTAAACGGATTCGATCAAACCCTCTGTGTGTGTGATGTTTGGGTTATGAACCTCATCCCAGTCTTAATGGTGGAGGGAAACATGTCAGCTCAGGATACCTCAGGCACCGCTGCTACCGATAAGGCCGATTTCTCGAAGGGGCAACTTGATCTGTTGGCTTTGATGTGAGTAGCAAGATGGGCGTCACCCGCGTCAGATATCATTTGCCCATTGCCGCCACGTCGTCACCTTGTTCCTCTTTTGGCAGTTCAAAAAGTGTCTTTTCAGCCATTCAACGATCCTCTGCGTGATCAAGATTTCAAAGCTGACTGCTACAGCTGTGTCTCCCAACAGAAATAGTGGAACCGCCTTGTACCTGTAGCGAAGAGTGTGTGTGTGTGTGTTTGCAGTTTTTCAGTTAAACTCGAATTTCAGCCACGCATCGTCATTTGCTGACTGAGTCTTCTTCTAAATTCTAAGATGCGTTCAATATTGACCATTCCTGGCACCACATCTTCCAATTCTTTTACTGCACCAAGGCAGTCAAACAAGTCTTTCACAATCTGTTGGGACAAGGTCGAGCGCACTCGGTGCTGAGCTGCCAGCAAGTAGTTGGAAAACTCCCCCACAAACAACTTGCAAATGGCTGAGTTCAGTCGCGCAAATCGTCGCCATCTGCCTCCTTTAGCTGCATGCTCAAATAATGAAAGGCTGTTGGACAGCTCTTCAGCCTTCATGCCTAGGGAGCAACTCAATAATTGCAGGAATCTAGCGAATGAAGATTTCTCCATAGACCCCAACACATGACGACAAACGAGTTTGTGGCCCTCATCTGATTTCTCGACACGTATCCCTGACTCGAGCTTGAAGCTTCGGTCATTAGGGGCATCCAAGAACGGGGCATGATGGGCCGGCATGGTGGATGCCTCATCCAACATGCGGAGCAAATCAGCTGCTGTGTGTGTGCACGTGTCCGATGTCAAAGCGTTCGCTTCTGCCCTTGAAGTGCCATTGGACTGCACCCATGAAAGCTCTCACGCATACCGAGGCTGGGTTGTCCGCTGGTTTGTCCGGGCATTTCTGCGCCCTGCATTTCAACCTAAGTTCCACCCACATACCTGAGGTGTGCCAAATCGTACAAGACCACCAAGACGAACCGAAGCCAACATCTCAGTGGCACAGCTTCCACCTGCTCTTCGTGACCACCCTCTTGTCTTGGCCGGACCATGGCTACCATGGCGATTCTGCTTGTTCGGGCGTGTTCTGCTCGAATGGTGTCTGGTGTGTGAATTGTTTAATTTTCCTTGAACATGGAGATCCCGTTCTAGATCGTTCTAGTATATCCAGCCGTGTACTGCTGCATTTTCTTCTGTGGGGTCTGAACCCTGCAGGTTGGGCGGCGTTTTTGAGCAAGGCCTTGCGCATCCTTGCGCACAGCAGGGTTGTCCAGGTAGGACATTGTGGTACAGGCCTAACTAGGAGGAAACATACCTAAATGATCCTAAATGCAATACCTACTGCTACTGCACCTGCACAATTTGGTGTACAGCAAGCTCCCCACACAAAGGGGGAGAAAGAAAGAGAGAGCGAGCGAAGAGCGACCAGGCCCAGCAGTTTTACTCCCAGCCAGGCCTCTCCGACTTTGAGTGGGTATGTCCTCAGCCCACATCAAATCCAATCAGGAAATCAGGATAGACAACCATGACAACCTAGAATCAAAAGAAACAAAGCACCCCTTTATGCCCCAGAAATTGGTGGGAGTCTCCAGGTTTCCGAAGTACACACACAACGCAGGAAAATCATCTTTGGACCAAGGCTCTGAATGAAAATGAAGTCGATATCATGCTTTGCTGCCAGCTGCCTTGATTGCAGCTTGACCCAGGCACCCGTTCAAACCGCTGTGACCCCCACCTCTTCATGGGTTGGATGCCGCATGTGGACTTTGAGGCCAACGCGTGCGACCGATTCACATGCGGGGACTGATCAGGAGTTGGGATTCCAACGTTCCAACGTTCCAAATCACTGATCGGTTGAATCGTCGGACTCCATGTTCCACATCTTTCATTACTGGTGTGCATGTAGAATATTAGACGAATTGTACCAGATGCATGTACATTTGAGTGCCCAATGGTTTTCCCGTTGAGAGGGGTGCCCAATGGACAGGAGTCGGATGCAGCTGGTACAGTGATCCATGGATCCTAACCATTGAACCCACCATCCACACGCCGCCCAGCGCCGCCGCTACGCCGCCCAGTGGCCATCCCCAGCCGGTCCGCTTCTCGAGCTCATGTTGCGCGCCCCTCCAGTCCAAGGTATTGAAATCGCCGAGGAAAATCCTCAGTGCACCGAGGTGATCCAGATGAATTCCGAGGTGATCCACATGAATGGCGTGGTGAAGCGGGGATGTTCTTCAACGCAGCCTACTCAAGATCAACCTGGAACCTGGTGTTTGAGCAGCAATACATGGCACAACTCTTTTTCAGGAAGTGGGGCCTGTTTCCAGTCAGCAGAACCTGCCACCACAAAACTGGAAGTCCCACTTTCAACATCCTGGAACAATAAGCTGTCACTTCAATCTTGGAATATCCCACCACACAAGAATTGGAGCCGATCGTAGAGGTTGACCAGCCGACAACATGATGCTTGGTGAGGGGATAACCCCACTTCACACTTCGAAGTTTCGATGGAGCGTTGTACTCTTCTGAGCATTTCTTCATGGCATCAGCTGCGATCTTGATGGACTCCTTCGCATACTTCACATTGTTGTTCCGCTGAATGGGGTGAAGACCCCACACCTTGGCTTGGTCTTAGGGAACAAAGAAAATGCATTCCCTCTCAAATAAAGCCTTTGGCTCAAGAGGGGATTTCCAAGTATGATTGTCCTAACAAGAAGCTCCGAAACAGTATTGGGTAGACCAAAAGAAGGGTAAATAACTGAACATTTACACAAGGGGCACACATATGAGAGCACAGGCATGGGAGAGCACAAATATCAGAGAAAACACACAAAACAAAACACATGAGAAGGCACAGGCGAGGGCGCACGCACACACTCTGACATTGGTTTTCAGTTACTCAACTCCCAAGTGGAAAGAAGGCGAGAGAGCCGTAAGGCGAAAGGTCCAAACACTTGCAGATGTTTTAACAAAATGGTTTTCTCACTTGACTGCGGAAAGCGCACAGCGGCAACGCGGCTGCTGGTCAGCGGTGGGAAAAGGTTTAGGGGAGGTATCGTGGAACCACCATGGAAGCAAACAAGAGAGTGGAACAGCGTGGGCAAAAGTTCAAAATAGTCGCAGGTACGCCAGACTGATCAGGTATGGGTTCACTGCCAATTGCAAGCGTCTTCGTTGGCAGGAGACTTGCAATGGCACTCCTGCCCCCTGCGACTTGAAAGTTGAGAAAAAACAGAAGCTCTTAGTTACAGAGGTGGACACACACAGAACGCCGATATCGGCGGTCTGGAGGAACTTACTAATCACCTAAAAAGCCTTAGAAAGAAAGACAAGGAAAAACAAAAAGAGCAAACGAAGAGGGCAAGAGAGAAAAATAGGAGTAGTTACGAGGCCCACTAGTTATGAAACCTTCTAGCTACTGAATACTTAGCCGAAATGAATTACATGCATTAGTTAGCGAGCGGGACATTCGTCTTAAACCGCCCGCGTAGCTAGGAGTAGAAAAGGAGAAACAGAAGGAAAGGTACCGACACACAAGTGTGTCGAGTACCATTTCCTTCTGTAACGCTGGATAGCGGGTGGGATAGAAGCGCGAATTAGGTTGCAAGGTGGGGGGGGTGTGTGGAAGTGCAAGTGTGAACAGTAGTTTCACTGGTCTCAAAAAGGTCATGGTGGGAAACATGGTGCGTACACTCTTGAAATCGAAAGCGAGCTTCGAAAATCAAAAACATTCAACACAAGCATGGACATGAGTCAAGTCCAAGTAAGTGGGATTGCCGTGAAGCCCGGCGGTGTAAGTTGCAGGGAATACAGTGGTGAAACAAAGTCCGTTAAGAGAATCCAAAGCATGGTGGGAACGGTGGAGTCAGTTACACGAATTCCGGAGTGAAAACGGCGCCTCCTTGCGGAGGATCACACCCAGCACCCAAGTGGGACGACTGAGCGAGTCACACTCTGACATTGGTTTTCAGTTACTCAATTCCCAAGTGGAAAGAAGGCGAGAGAGCCGTAAGGCGAATGGTTCAAGCACTTGTAGATGTTTTAACAAAATGGTTTTCTCACTTGACTGCGGAAAGCGCACAGCGGCAACGCGGCTGCAGGTCAGCGGTGGGAAAAGGTTTAGGGGAGGTATCGTGGAACCACCATGGAAGCAAACAAGAGAGATTGGAACAGCGCGGGCAAAAGTTCAAAATAGTCGCAGGTATGCTAGACTGATCAGGTCTGGTTTCACTGCCAATTGCAAGCGTCTTCGTTGGCAGGAGACTTGCAATGGCACTCCTGCCCCCTGCGACTTGAAAGTTGAGAAAAAACAGAAGCTCTTAGTTACAGAGGTGGACACACACACACATGAGAGCACACATATGTGAGGACACATGTCAAAGCACAAACATGAGGGCACAAATACGAGCACTGGTATGAGAGACTAGCTTGCCACGAAATCCGCAAAGTGAGGACAGTGAGGTTCACTAAGCGCTGTGCCTGCCCTGAAGATGACACCTTCCAATAGTGCTGTGGCTGCCACCAAATCTACACTTCAAAGTTCACAAAAATATGTGCCTATGAAAGCAGCACTTCGAAGATCACAAAGTTCAGTGCCTGCCCCAAAAATCTGCACTTGGAGGCGCGAGAAATCGACGCAGCGAGGTTCACAAGTTGTGCACGTCACAGGCTTCACAAAGTGCTGCGCCTGCCACCAAATGTGCATAGCGAGGTTCAAAAAGCGATGCGCTTGCCACAGCGTCTGCAGTTTTTGGATCACAAAGTGCTGCGCCTGCCGCAAAATATGCATTTCGAAGTTCAAAGTCGGGCGCGTGCCACTAAATCTGCATTTGGCGGTCCACAAAGTACTCTGCACACTGCGCCTGCTACGAAATCTGCAAATCATGATCTACATCGTGCAGCCCTGCCAGTGTTTTGCAGTAACTGGCAGCGACGCTGCGCACGCCGGTGAGCACCCTCGATCAAACCCAGAGAATCAAAGAAAATAATCAAATCGCCTGATCGGTAACAACAAACACTGGAAAAAGAACAAACAAAACACATCGACCACATCTTCAGCAATCCCAAGTCACGCAGAACTTAGCATCTCCCTTGTACATCATGGCACCACAAACCCCTCTGGATCCAGGTACTTCAAGTTCAGTGGCCCAAGCGTGGCCTCGGAGCATGGAATGGTGACTCGAAAACAGTTCATTCTACCTTTAAGTTTGTCAATATACGATATTAAAGAACACACACATACTCACACACATACAGTATATATATATGTATTTATTTAAAACTGTAGGTAAATGAATGACTCTGCCGGGCCAATTTGACTTGGGTTCTATGTGAACACACCCGTATGATTAATGCAACATTGGAGTAAGTTTGGCCTGGACTGGAACAGACTTGGCTTGCAAATCACCCACTCCATAGGGAATCATCCACTCCATTTTCTTGCAGATCGTCAATTCAGGACCGGCTCCTCTTTCTTCCCCATCAACATGGTCCGAGAAACCCCAGTCGGGCTTGTGGAAGTTGTAGCCACACCAATCGTGGGGCTGCTTCCATTCATTCACCGACGCATAGCCGGACGCCTCCGCGATGTTCGCTAACTTGTTGTTCGTCTCCTGGACACTGTTGGACACTGTTGGCGGTTGACTGCTGCTCTCATGGATGGAAGCCACACTGGATGTTTCATCGTGCCAATTGTATCAACATGATACATATCAATCATGGATCTCATGCTCCAACGCCAACCTTTTTGATGTCATCACTCTCATCAAAGTGCGGCCATAATATTTGTATATGTATGTCAAAATATGTCGTGGAAATGATCGTTTTCAGCTCCTCGACCCATGCACGTCAAACCTTCAACTCCCTGAGTCAGCAGTGTGGCAGTGTGTCTGCAGTGTGCCCCGTGGTTTCTCTTCTCCTGTAAGTTGGCGATGTCCACGTCATGTGCCTTGAACATGCGGTCCATGGCATCGTACCGGGTGTTCCCAAAGAAAACGTTCCAAGACCTGGAGGATTCTGGTCTCTGAACATGGAACCCTGGAATATCCTGGGCTTTTATAACGATGCCCAGTGGCTTTTGTGGTCTTTTCCATCAGGACTGGGTCCACTGGATGTTAATGGTTTCCCTTCTCAAAGTGGGTTGATGGTCCTTCCTTGGGACCGCAATACTGGCTTTGGCAGGATCCTACTTCCAAGAGAACGCCACCTCCTGTGCGGCGTCCCAAGACAGGCGGCTCCAGGTGGCAAAAAGATGCCCTGTGGGTCCCTATTCGTTTTCCAGTTGGAGCCACATCTAATCGGGGATGAAGTGGTTGCCAAAGTTCACAACCAGAACCTATCCTCTTCTTGGTTTTTGGTAAGCAAAAACACAAGAAACTGACCAATTCTGACGGCAAGTGTATACTTGAAGCTGGCGCTCAAAGAATGTTGACCAAATCATACATGACAGCTCACTTGACTCATCTTGACTCCCTTTGTTGATCAGCCTCTCACGCCCATCCCTCCCAGGCCACATGATGGTCAGCACGGTGGGTGTGGGCCCAGTGCCGCCGGTCCAGGTGGTGGTGGGCCCGGTAGTGGTGCTGGCAGTGCTCACCGTGGTCGAGGTCTTGTCGCGACACTCCTGGCTGGTCGGTCGTGGTCGGTCTCCCATCGCCCGTGTCATCGGTAGTTCTCTCTATGGGACCAATTCAATGGGCTGGTGGTAGAGTTCCCCTAATTCTGACTTGGCCCGGTCTTTTTGAAACAAACCACTTACCGAAAGCTTCATCCGGGATTGCCACCTGTGAACTGTATCCAACACATCGATATAATCGGTATAAGTATAAGCTGAACCCAGGACCATTATCAAACCCAATGTCCCTACTCTTTCCTTGGTACCTTGGTGAGGATCTTCAGCTTTCCACGGAGGTCGAATGAGTGTGAGACGAGTTCTGCTCAAGGTTGACAGCGGCCGCAGTGAGTTGCTTTCGGCCGCCCTCAACAAGGCGCTTGTAAGTATTGGAAGTGTTCTCCATAGAAATTGGAAACACGCCAATTAGGCAATTGGTCCAATTGGTGGAAAAAAAAAACACAAAAAAAACAATCAATAGTAAGTCCATGGTTGTGTACACTGATCAACGTTGGTAGGCTTTTGGTAGTAGTGACTGTGACAGTAGGGTGGCTGCTTTGCTTGCAAAGTACACAAAATTTGAGGGCGAGCTCAGTCACACTACTTTCAGTCATACTGTTCCAGTCGCGTATAGTTTCTTTGATTCACGTTTTTTCAGCAGGCAATTGTTCACTGGCTGCAAGCTCAGGCCATTCACACATCCAAGAGATCTTGGAGCTCGACTTAGGTGCTCTGACTTGGGGGGCTGGATCTGACCTGTCGGAGCAGGAAGCGTCATTGGATGCGTCGAGCATTGCGAAGGAAGCGGTCCTTGGCCTCCGCTTCCGAGGTGCTAGACTCAATACGGCATTTTTGGACGGTGGTAGACCAGCCTGGGCAGGTGATGACTTGGCCTCCTTGACGAACATGGTTCCATAGAAGTGTCCAAAAAGGTTTGAGCTACAGTGAGATGATGCGTGTTCTGCTGTCTCATTGGCATGCTTGTCTACGTTAATTCGCCACTTCCATGACCAGTCAGGGCTTCTTCGCCTTAAGTGGTCACTATGACTGGCGATAGGATCATTGACATCCTCCGCAGCCAGCGCCTTCGGGAGGGATGCAGCCACAGTCATCCGCCTCGGCAGCCTTGCTGCTGGTGCTGGTGGTGCTCGCGGTGGTGGAGGTCTTGTCGCGGCACTCCTGGAAGCGGTCTGTCCATTGAGAAGCTTTTGCCTGAGAACCTTTGATCTCACCCCAAGGGGTGGTTAATGGACACCCCTTAACGGTTAAGGGTTGGATAATCTCACCAAGACTCCGCGCTGAAAGCTCAACAGATATTGCAGTTTTCAGCATCTTGAAGATCGTAGCGGGATGTAGCGGGTATCAACCGCTGCGCCAAGAGGTTCCAGCCACTCCAATCTTGCGACATGGGATTGAGCAAGTCGCCCCGCACCCCCTGTTCCTTTCGGGACTCTTCCGCCTTCAGAAGTGTGGACATGGCCACTTCGCTCATATGCTTCAAGCGACTGATCACCGATCCGGGAGCGCTCACAGTTGGACAGTTCCATCCTTTTTGCTCATCGCTCCGCGCTCCGAACCGCGCGGGTTCCTTCCCCCGAAACTGCACACCGTGGTTCCTTGCGGACCAAACCATCCCTCACCTGGCGAAACCGAACCGCTGGAGTTCACGACTTGGACTGATCTCAGGTCAAGTATGGTCAAGTATGGTCAGACTGTGTTGACATGTGTTGGTGGCCTCGACCGGATTGACTGATCTCGTGGCCACACCGCAGATCCGTCCTTGGCCTCGGCTTCAGAGGTGGTGGATTCAGGGCGGCATTTTTGCACCGTGGTCGACCAGCCTGCGACAGGTTGGTTTGGTCGAGGCATCCCGCAAGAAGTGGCTCGGCCAGCTCTGCTAACGGTTTATGGTTCTATTTGTTTGAGACTTCGGCCGCAAGCTCTGCTTGGGGCAAGCAGGATTTTGGCAAATGACCACCATGCTGTCATGTCTATTCACAAATTACTGTATGTGTGGAGTGAATCTTCCACTTCTATAGAACCTTAGGAGCTGAACAACAACATATGCAGTGTCTCTGAGCATGCCGCATGCCTCAGGATATTATAAACATGTGCGGTGACATCATGTGACATCTAACCTAACCACATCTTGAATCTTGTATCACTTCTTCCTTTTTCAGCTCATTTGGCACCCTATCATCTGCCTTCTGGGGGCACACAGCCACAGTCATCCTCCTTCTCCTTCTTGTTGCAGGAATGCTTGCCTCATGGCCGAGGAAACTTCAAATGGTATTTTGGATTGAGACCCATTGTGCATGTGTTCAAATTGAATTATATATACATGTATCATAATATATCATATAATATCATATATCAATATCGTCATATATACATATACTATATTATATATACATATTATATATATATATTACATTGACTTACATTGTGTAACACAAAATGAACATCTGCAAATCTCTAGTAGCCCTGCTCTTCCCAAGAGAACTCGTCCGTTGATCCGTTCCGGTACGGCTCTGGGCAGCTGACACTCGAAGGACCAGCCGCCCCAGCTCTCCTGGGGATGTGGCATGTGACGGAAAGGATGTCTTGTCAAATACTGAAGATGGTCCCCCCGGAAAAAATGAGTAAAATTAAAACAGAAGTCTAGTCTATTCAACATCCCAGACATAAGAATTGAGCCAATATACGTCATTTTTGTAGAGTGCCTGGTTCACAAGAGCATATATATAAAGGCGCTTGGACTTCCAACAGTTGGATGCTGATAGATACCTCAAAACTCGGCACATGGCCAGGTTTTCTCCAGTGAAAGCAACTGTTCTTTTTTGGAAGAGCAAAAAAGTAGATGGCCAGCTGCAGTATCAATATGTATCAATGCCTTTGTGGGCTGTTGAGTTTCAAGAGACTCAAGAGTCACAATAAACCTTTCTCCCCGAAGCTTCGCTAACACAAAACCTCTTCGCAGCCTCTAGGATTCTCACGGAAGAAGCACGGCCTGTCCTGGTAGTAGGGGCCACATTGCTTGGTGCCTTGACAACATTCCCGGAAGTAGGGGTAGTAGGGATCACCGCCCAAGGGCGTACATTCCTCATCCTCGCTTTGCAAGTGCTCCTGGACTTTGCCATGCCGCCTCAGCATTAATGTCAAGGGGGTTAGACCATGATCCCAGGTCTCAAAGTGGTAAATGATGGGTAGCTATCAGACTCCAATAGATTATCTATGATTATCTCACTAGATCCTGCCTGGACTGAAAGTAGTGCTGCTGAAACAACAGATTTCAGCAGTTTCATCCATGAATTCTTTGGGATGTTCCAAATGATTGAGGCCATGCGGGCATCTGATTCTTTTCTTTTGTGTGCGTGGGCCCCTTGACTCCTCAGCTGAGGTGCTTGACTCCTTGCAAGAGCACCACTCCTCCACCCTTGTTCTTGGGCTTCTCGCAGCTCCCATCTGCTTGGCACGCCATCTCCTCAGATCCCACCGCAGCTCCCGCCAGTGCTGCGAAGGCCCAAAGGGTTTTTCCTAGCGCCATGGGGCAGAGGCGCCGAACCAGGCGGGCGAGCAAAGATGATATGAACGGCTGTTCGTTTGGCCAAAGGCTGCGAGAACCATCTCACATTCTTCTTGCACCCTTTGCGCGATAAAGCATAGAATCCCAGGGTTGACTTGGTGAGTTTATTTTATTGGCCACACAAGAGGTTTTCTTCGCGGGAAAACAGAATAATTAAGATGTCGTCCCCTCGAGCAACAAGCTTCACCAGACTGCCTGGAAGTTCATTTGGCAGCAGGTTTCGATGCTCAAAAAAAGGTGACACCCAGATCATACACTGACACCCGACTCATGTCTCGCTCAGGCCTCTTGAGCTCCGCAGCCTGGAGGAGAACTATCCCACCGGTGTGGCATGTTGGCGTTGAAAAATACCTAGTCTACGGCATTGAACAAATGTATCTAATATATTCTAAGAGTAATTAGGGATCGGGATGATTCAAAGCCACAGGAAGGCAGTTGAGAAACAAACAAAAAACCTACAGTCAGTGATTTTCGCGGACTAGTGAATTCAACAGGAGAGGCATTTCAAACCCAGTGATTCAAAGGAATGGATGCACTTCAGTCTCTGAGCCACTTTTCCCAGTCACAAGCTTGCCTACAATTACACTCCGACTCGCTAATGAACATGTATATATAAGTGGAAAATGGTCCTTGGAAGACTACTTTCGTTTACGACGAACGAAGATACGTACATCATATAGATAGTTCCAAGTTGATACACCCTGGGTAGACACATTAGTTGGGAGGTCAAAGCTGGTCAAAGCACCATTCTCATCTTTCCTGGCCTCTAGGCTTCTGTAACTTTAAACTTTAAACCTGCATGTGGCCCAAAACTATAGGGCTAGAGCGGCTAGGGACTGTGGAGACTCCAGGATTTGTCTCTTTCGCGACCCTATCTTCCATCTCCCCAAGACTTACCACTAAGTGTTTGGCTCGTAATCTGGAAAAGGTCATCGCTGGGAGCACCCGCCAAACATTCTCATAAGCCCATGGTCTCACCGTCCCACAAAAAATACCATGGTCTTCTGATGCTTCCTGCGATATCCCGCCTGAAAACCACAAGGCTCGACACTCCCAAAAGGTTTGAGGGGCTAGCAGCTAGCAGCTCTGGGGGTTCAACAAGTATGGCACGAGTAGGACGGTGAAACATGTTAGTGCTTGAACATGTTCTAGACTGGGGTGTTTAAAAGAATTTTAGAGACACTATTTGCCTCGTGAGTGCGTTCCCTGGTGTCTTCCTTCGGACATGAGCTGAGAGCTGCCGCTTCTCGCGCCTTTCGGGAGAGCTGCCGCTTGCTGATGAGCTCCAAGACCTGGAAAACGAACGCACGCCGTCGGCTCACTTCGACCTGGTAAAGCCACTGGCCACCCTTCCACATCGACCAGCTGAGCTCCACACGAGAGGAAGGATACTCTCCACAAAGACCTTGGCAGGTGAGGACGCCCTCCCCGGTGCCAAGTCCACATGAAGGAACCCTGCCGAGGTCTGCCTACCTCGTCTTTATGTGTTTTCCTTTTATTATCTGATGTTTTATGTTTGTTTGCTTGTTTTTATGTTTTTTCTTTATGTTTTTGTTTTTAAATGTTTTTTGATGGAAGGGGGAGAGTGGGGTTTGCTCTTGGACTCTAGAGACTCTAGTGGCAGGAAGCCTGGATCCTGTTGACCAAGCCACTCGCCGCAAGCTGTCCACGCCATACAAACACAGCAGCTCTTGTCGTAGCTTTCGAATGTCCTCAGGGCGAACTTGGGGGCGTCCTTCCGCTCGACCAAGCCAATTTGTTCCTGTGTCCAAATAACATATACAGTAAAGCCATATAAAGCCACTCCCTTTCACTGGCATGTGGGAAACAAATGGGATGGGAGACAGGCCAGAGCAGCTCCTGTTGCACAAAGCCCACGTAGAAGAGCACAATGTAGCAATCAAAGGCTTCGAACATGAACCTGAGGTGAATGAAAACAAGGCGATTGACAGCCTCCTTTGCTTAGCGACCGGCTTTATTGCAACGGAAGAATAACTTCTTGGAACATCGAACATGATGCACTGGACAGCAGAGTCATTTGCCCAAGCAAAGTCTCAATGCCTCTCTCAGTGTTAGGTCTAGCTGCACCTCCGCTGGCCATTGGAATTATTTTAGCTCACCAGCACAGCATGCCCCCGGGGCAGCCTCTTCGCCATCAAGCTGCTTTGATGATGTTCCAACAACCTTGGATAAGGAGATAGGGACCTGCCAAACTAGCTGGGATTCACAAATGGCTTTCTGTGACAGACCTGCAAAGCTGGTATCCTGGCTGTCCATTGTGTCAATCACAGCGGTTCTAACACCTCTAACACTCTATTTCCAGATTGAGCATCTGGGACTGGCAACGAGTGGAAACTGACTTGCTGAAAGTCTTGTCCATCTTCAACAACTTGAGTCCATATTCCTAATGAGAAAACTAAATACAACTAATCATAGTTGGATGATAGTTGGATGATGCCGGATAACACTCTGCAGCCTAGCAACGCTTGTTGAACACATTCTGTCCAAGAATTGGCATCCCGGTCCAATAATCGTAACAAATCTTGTCATGTTCAGCTATGTTCGGGTTCTTTGGGATGTTCTTTGGGATCGGATACTTGTGGACTTTCTCCTGTTGACTCCACGCGTTCCTTCCGAATCCTTCCCACCGGAACAACACACTCATAGACCGCACAACACTCCAGGTCCCATGTGCCCACACCACACACACACTTCAAACACACATAAGCGCGGTGCACATCTTTTTCTCGCCGCCAAGCCACTCGTGGTTCTCTTGTTCCGTGAGCCACTCGGCCACCGAACGGTAGAGCTTGTTCAGGTTCATGATCGCCTCGAAGAAGCTGCTTCATTGTACCGTACGTAGGGGTGAGGTCAGAAGACCTGATATACGACAATCTTCACAAGCTGCGTTGTTAATACACATACAGTTAAACCTGTTCAACCGACCCGAGATTCGGCTGGCCTTTCCATGTCCAAAACAAACTATGGTCCCTTGTCTCCTCAGCTTCGGAAGAACACCACCAACTGGGCGCACGCGCAGCAGCGCGCGCCCCATGAAACATGCCCATGGGCCCTTGAAACCGATTTCGCCGCCCCGTGCGAAACCTTGGCGAAGGCCGAACGCGGGACAGCCGATGTTGCCGAGCCACAAAGACATGGAGAACGATGGGGCCAAAGGCCAGGAGGCCGAAGTACTCCTCAGCGTTGGTAATTTGTCCAGTGGTATATATATATATATATGTATATGTGTGCTATATCTTAGACGTGTTGGAAAACACCCCGCGGTTGGATGGTTTGGAAAGTAGGATGTTGCCTACAATGCCTTTTTAGGGGGGGTTGCATCCCAATCAGCCTGTGGTTGTGAATGGCAGTGAAACAGCTATTGCTATTGATTATTGATTGTTGATTGTAGAGGACCCAAAACATCGGGCAACAAATTGTTTCCATTGGGCAACCACTTTACACCTGCTTCGTCTGTGTTTGAACCACGAAACATGATTCTTCACCAATGAGCACCCAGCTCATTTGCTCATATCCATGTGATCCAAAATCGTTCGAAACACAGATGTAATCAAGCGCTAAATAAATAGACATATATATATATATATATGTATACACAGTAAATACATATATATACTGTACATATTATCATATTATATGATACATATATAAATAAGTATATCCCCCCTTTAGCCTTCAGCGGTTCCTTTCGTTTTGTTGCACCGAACACGCCAAAACCGTTCCCAGCCGTTCCTTCGGCTCTCAAAGAGCCGAGCATCTTTCTGGTTTGGGTCGAAGATAGCCCCATGGTCAGCCAAGCGTGCCAACGGTGCAATGTAGAAGATCTGAGCAGATTGTGCTTGTTTTCAAGTGCGCATGTGTGTAAACGAATGGTGGATGCAAGAAAAACAGGCAAAAACAACGGTAGTAAAAGCAACATCAAACGCAACTTGCTTTTTGAATGTCTGGATATTGATGTGAAATCCATCGCGACTGGAAAACGTTTAGTACGCCCTCCTACTCGGAGAGGGGACCGCAGTCAACTGCCACTCTTTCTTGGGCATATCCCATCACCAGGGCCCAGTGGATGAGGATGGTCAGTAAACGCCTTTCTCAAAAATATCCAAACACTCCATGTATGCAATATTTGCATACATTGGGATGGTTTGGGGGGGTCAATGTAGGCATTTGTGTCATACACGGAGTGTCTGGGATAGATACTGTTTTACCGACTGTTACTGGGCATGGAACATCCTAAGTCTTTCCCATTTTGCAAAGCCATGACCCGCAGCCTGCTCCAAAGAGGTTACGGACTCTTCCATGAAGCCCTGCACGGGTGCCCGGCGGCGACCAACGGAACCGGAGGATTCTCTGGCGGGCTGTGGGCTGAGCCGAGCAAGTATCACCGACAAAGAGACTGCCCGGCTCGGTGAGAATGTCCGACTTCGAGTCATGTCGAAACCATTTCTTTGACCAATGAGAATCATGAGACATGCTCTGTCGGAGTTTGTCGGGATACATCCGACTGCCACTGTAAGAATTGTTCTTATGTCTTATGTTTGGTTTCAACAGCTCTCTCCCGCAATATGTTTGGATGACCACAACATGTATACATGAGTGACGCAATATGAGGGGCCTCAACCCATCTGCTTTCCCTACTGGCAGCGGGTGGGGCCCGGAGCAGTTGAACCCTCAAAGACAACCTACCCTCAAAAAGTTGTTTCACTGTTGATAAACTGGTTTTGACGGATGATGAACCCCTATGACACTTGTTGATTGATTGTTTTGGGGTTCATATCCAAAAGGCCACCACCTGAATCTTGCTTCTTGTCCATGCCCAACACTGGATGATGCCAACACACTCATAGAAACACCTGCTTGTCAAATCTGACACTCTGGGCGTCACGAAACAAGGGTCAAGATAGAAAAGTAAAACCTCTTTCAATATGTATTGGAAACATTTGGAAACCGTTTCTATCACCAGTAGACGTCGTCCAAGAAACAAGTTTCTCGGCCTGCAAGTTCAAGGAGCAAATCATCACACAAAAGGAAATCCTCACAGCTCACGGCCAAAGAACACAAACCCAAACATTCAGGGGGTCAATGTAAATATGTATATATATATATATGTCTATCTGTCATACATGGAGTGTCTGGGACATATGACCACACATAACTAACCACGAAACCTATCAGTTCCACCATGGAGTCGGAGGATTTCATTGGCTCGGTGGTTTGCTTCTTCTTGGCATTCATAAACAATGCAAATAGGTCGAAATCGACCAACATTCACTGGCGTTTCCACGCCCGTGCCAGCCATCGGGAGCCAAGTCCAGTAGTTTTAGTCGAGAATCGCCAGCATCAAGGAGGTCACCAAGACCTAAGGCAGAAATTCAGTGAGTCACTGTTTCACTCTTTATAGCGATGACATGCGATGACCAGGATTTGGTGGAGAGACTATGTATATACGATTCATTGACATGGAAGTATACTTAACAAGGCCTCTGTTCTTTGCTGATTCTGAAAACACATTCTTGTAGCCTTCACTACATGCAGAAGCGGATGTCACTCTCGCAGCAACTTAAAATCTCACAATATCTCACAATTATCGACCGGTTGGAAGACTTCCTGCTCAAACAGGAAGAAGGAGTCCATCTTAAGATAAGGGCCCGATACATGAGTACTTCTGCATAGATGAACCTTGAGGGTTAGGTGTCATTGGAACCTGAACCCATCGCCAGGACACGGAAAGAGCGTAGGCCAGGAAGCGTTTCCCCTCCGGGTAGTACCTGGACAGTCACAGAAACCGCCAAAGAAACCCTGTCGTTCTCGGCCAAAAACCCGGCCCCCATTGTGGCCCCATTGCGGGCATCAAGTGATTTGGGGGCTTTGGAGGGCATCAAGCAAGTGCAAGATATGGTGCAAGTGCCCAATTCCTACGGACGACGCCCAGCACATTTGTTTGCGCACCGTCTGCGCACCTGTGAAGCTGCCCAGTGACTCGGCTGGTGCGCAGCTCCCCGACGAACTCCGCGCGGTGTTCGGGTCTGTGACGGCACGGTGGGCCGGGTTTCAAGACCCTTCACACTCAAACGAACTGAAGGTAATATGAGCCATATGAGCCGTGCCTTAATGGATTTTAGGTATCAATCCCCTGCTAGATTGCTTTTTGTGGACGGCCCATAAAGGTATCACATTCTCCTCACCTTGTTACTATAGCACTGGACACCACAGCATCGCAGTGGATTGCTGAAATGGGCCTTTGCAGTGGATTGCAAGTGTGGGCGTTTGGCCCATTTTAGGACTTATCCACCCTGTAGACGATCCCATAGACCCTGAGAAGAGAATCGACCACGTTTGGTTCCCCATTGCCCCGCCTGTTCTCCACCCCGTGTACGTTCCAGTGCCAGGCTTGGACGGCACAGTGCCGGTCCCAGCTTCGCAAAAAGCACATGCCCCAGAAGACCACAAAAAGCGAATAGAAGGGCAAAAAGGGGTCATCATCCACGGTGAAGCCAAAGAAATGCCTCAGATATTCTTCTGAAATACAGCACAAATTATGGAGAACACGGAAATTCTCTCGTGCCAACGATCGCACATTTCCCTGCACAAAGGTCAGTCACGAATGTGTCGTCAGGGAATGTGTCGTCAGAATGCGTCGCTGTGGGGCAACAAACAGGCCAGTTTGATGCTCTGAAAAAAGACAGTCTTAAAAGGTCTTAAGCCTTTTGCACTCCCAAAATTATCGGTTGTTGCTTCCAGAATAGAGGGGCCCCAATGTATGATATGTATGGCTCAAAATGATTTCAAACATAGATTTCCGGATGTCGTTCTTCTCTAATCGGGATATCATTCTTGTCTATTCGCTCATTGTAGATTCCAACGCAAAGGCACATCTGCAAGGCCGCTTAATACATGCCTCGTCGCATACGGAGGTAGAAGAGTAACCCCACCGCGGCTGGAGCGACCAGCCAAAGGGTAAAATGATTAAGCCAAGCAAAGTAGAGTGCCTCAGGCGCCGAATTATTTTTGTTCACCAAAGCCCAAAAAGGACCTTGACAGCTTGGACAAGTGCTGCGTGAAACTGATACCAATGATTAGCATGGTCAATAATTCAATACAGAGATACACTACCTAAAAATTATGATAGTACTTGGTCCTGATAATGATGCATGTCCTGCACGCCAAACTATATTTTTCAATATTTTTCATGGTTGCTCTCGAGCCATGGGCTTAATAACCCTGTGCATTCTTCTTAGTCCTGGTCTGAAAGCAAAACAAACATGGAAGTGGAGAAAGGAAAGGACATTTAGGACGAATGACCAAGGCGTTTCTCTTCCAGCTTGGGATGTATGTATATGTGTTGCCACTTGCATGTTGAAGTTTTGGAAAGACTAAGTATGTATGAGGTTGGCACATTTCTGATTATGTAAAAAACACAACCGAGATCAAACTTGTGCAGCTGCACCTGAATCCTACAAAGTTCCAAAATCCAGACTTCGCAAAGGCAAGATCCCTTATCAGTGACTTTGATGCACTGCTCATCTCATCTAATTTGAGCTTACTCTCTGAAACCAAGCAGACCATGGGACACCAAGCAGAAGCAGAACAGCCGTTCGCCACGTGTCTCGCGTCTTATCGGGGCACCACAGCCTCCCAAGTTTCGGCCCAGGGCACGACCTCCGAGCCGAAATACCGTTGGATCCGGTCCACCGGGGTCAGCGCCATCCAAATCGCCTCCTGGAGGACGCAGGAAGCACAGCTACTGCCGTATGGTTGAAAGAAGGCCGTATGACCGTGGCGGTCTGGGCTAAGGCTTTCCGACGCCTGTCCCCAAAAATGACCGGCCGTATGAGTCAGGCCTTTTGTATCCTTTTGGTTCTAGAATTCTAGAACATGTGGGACGTCAACAGGAAACATTCTGTATTTTGGCACTCTGACATAATTGGATCACAATCCGATCCACAGTATAGAACTAGCTGCTTGGGTGTGGCCAAATCCCAACTTTTTCAGAAGAATCCACCGCCACCAGACGTCGGGCTTGGCTGGACGCTTTGCACCGCAGACGCAGGCGGCTCAAGGGCCTGAGCCGGCGTGGCCAGGCGTCCTCCAGTCGCAGCTGGTGGCCCTGGTGATGGAAGAAGCGCCAGGTTTTGACCATGCAGTTCCACCCCATGAGCCACCACCGCATGGTAGCGGCCTCCCTCCATAAACACATGAAACAGCCGGCCACAACAAGGGCAAGCAAAGGTGGAACGGCCCGAAGGCGTGCTTGATGCATCGTCCAAGTCGTAGCTGGGCATCTTGGGAAGTAGCGAACTGGCAGGTCGCTCCTCTTGTCTTCGAGATTCCTCAATTGCCAAGCGTCGTCTTCGTTCCTCTTCGGCCTGTACAGTGAGATCTTCCGGCAAAGTGGCAGAAGCCATCTGACGATAGAAGTCCGCACTGCTCGCTTCCAGCTTCCGTAGGGTATCCTTTCCTTCTCTGATGGCCTTCAGCCTTCGTTTCTCGGCATTGGCACGCCTCTTCTTTTCAGCTTCCGAAAGCTCTTGCATGGCTTGAATTATCACTTTGTACCTCTCCAGGGCCTCCTCCTCATCCGTGAGAACTGAAGACTCACTGGCGATCTCATCGTCTTCTTCATGATAGCGGCTTAAGGGGGCAATCTGAACGTCCAAAACCAAGACACTGGGATTCATCATTACCTCCTTAAAGCCAGCCATGCCATCCTTGTCATTCACCCTCACGATGGAATCACCTGGTCGGATTCGTTCTTTTGGGTGCTCCTGGTTCCACTTGCACGCCAAGCCACCGACAGCCAGATTCTGAATCTCTAAGGAAGGTTGCTCAAGTTGCATTCCAAGTTTGCCACCGGAAGATCTATCCAGTCGAATCGTATAGAATCTTGGGGGCTTCTGCATGTGCGAACTGGGCACCGCCTCAATCTTCAACACTGGCACGCTGCTATTCATCAACTCTTCGCTGTAGCCAGCTAGCCCAGGCTTACCATTCACCTTCTTAATCTTGTGTCCTATCTGTAAAGCTCTGGTGGGATTGGCATAGTTCCACTCAGCGACCAAACCGTCGGACTTCACATCTTTGACCTCCAAGGTCTTTTCATCCAGTGAAAGGCCTAGCTTTCGCCCTGACGCCCTGTCGATACTGAGCTTCACGATTCTGGACGCCTCCTTGGTGGCTTCTTCCTTCAGCTTCAGCTGCAAAGTAGCATATGCCCAATTGAATTCCTCCCCGCCCATCTTCCCGGTGAAATCAGTGTCAAACTCATCAAAAATGTCTTCAAGAACCGAATAGCTGGGAGCAGGGTGTCCTTGCATTTGGGCCACTTGCCGTGCCAGTCCCTTGAACTCTGATAGCGTGAGCATCTGATCTCCATCCAGGTCAAACTTCTCCCTGAGAGCCATCATTTGCGCTTCAGTCAGCCCTGCTGTTCCACTCTGTTCTGCTGCCTGTTTTGCTTTGGACTTGGCTGCAGCTACACCCTTCGGTGGTGGGGGATGTCCGTGTTGCGTCATCTTGATGACTTGCACCTTCTCACGCTCCTGGTTTCCTCGAACTCTCGCCTGAATCTTCAATGCTGCGGCCTCCTCGACCTCCTGTTGCAAGGTGGCATACGCCCAGTTGAACTCTTCCATGCTCATGGTCCCACTGCCATCCTTGTCAAACATTTTGAAGACATCCTTCAAGCTTGCATCGGAGGGTAACTTCTGACCCGTCATTTCTGCAATTTCACGTGCCTGAGAAAGGTCTGAGTCGGATTTCGACCAACAATATTAATTGAGCGGGCGGATTGTTGGGTGCTTTCAAGGGGGTTCTTAGAACATCTTAGAACTGGATTGTCCATGCATGATTATGCATGGGAGGTATGCATGTTACTCCCATTGCCGCTTTCGATCTCTACATGACGAGCTCTACATATCTCTAACAACCAAAGGAAAACTGTTGCGTCTCCAAAATCCTCCACGGCACCATTCCGTCAAACTCCTCCTCAGACAGCCTCTTGTCTTGGTTCGTATCCTCGGATGTGGCCGGGGGGTCGCACGGACACCATTGCGGCATATACTACTTTGGGGTTTCTCTTGCATGGGAGTTTTGGGCGGGTTGAGAGTTCAACCCACTTCAACCCACACACACATTAATAGCACACACACAAACACATGCTTTTTGGAAACACCACCTCGACAGCTCTGAGATACAGAATGAACTCCCAGGAACCAGCTGTGGATATCATAACCGAAGGCTCAACTTTACACATCAGAGGGCACCCAGCAGTCGACTCTGGTGCCAATCCACTGTAGGGTGAACTGAAAATTCACCACCGCGCTTGAAACCCCCAGTATGGCGAGCTTCATACCTTTCCCGCAGCTGCGTCAACTGCGCCTCCGACAAGTTCGCCGTGCCTGCGGTTGCAGCCCGGCCCTGGGCTTTGGCCTTCTTGGGAGGCGGCGGTGGCGGCGCTTTTCCTCAGCAAAGCAGTGAAAGCCGGAAGATGGGTCTTAGTCGACGTCTCCCACCCTCAGTGGGGTTGGTCAGGGATAGTTGGAGATTCACTCCAGTCATCTCAAATCCTGTTGTCAAGCGTGAATGGGATTTGCTCTCTCTCTCTCTCTCTCTCTTATTTCTGAGGATTCGTGCACGCAAGACTGACGACTGGAGATCAGTGAATTCACAGGATTTGCCCTGTGGAGGGCCACGCAAAGTGCTTCCAACACCTGCTGACAAATGTGTTTCATCCAGGTCGGGAAAGATTCACAGTGCGGCGGGGCCAAAGTGATTAGGGGGGAATTTCCCAGTGAACCCATCCACGGCAAAAGTGAACACGATGTTCTTTCAACTTACTTGCAGGGTTGATAAAGGAGAAACAAGGGAGATCCTGCCTGCACAAATTGTTCAACGTTGAACGCTTTTCTTCACTTTGCAACAGTGCAAAATTGTCTAAGAGGGCCCACTGTGGCAGGAGGACGTGACAGTTCTCCCAGAGCTCTAAAGTTCAGGAAAAATCTCTTGAGCGGGGTCCAAGTCCAAGAGCAGTCTGTCAAGCCAAGTTTCCCTTGACCTTCGTCGCGGGAGCTTCCTGTATCTTCTTCTGCAAAGCAGCATAAGCCCAATTGAACTCTTGCCTAGTTGATGGTAGGTTTGACCTGAAAAAGAACATAATCTGCTTCAAAGTATATGGCTGGAGGTTAGGTTGGGTCGCTGATTTGACGGGGTTGCTTGCAATTCCGGAGAGGGAATCACATTAAATTTGGGTTAGGTCTTCCCAAACCGAGCGCACAAACTGACAGCTCTTGTCTTGGCTGCGGTTCAAAATTAAGGGCATCCAACAACAAATCGTTCTGGGGAAAACCAAAGGACACGTATCTTGTATCCCCTATTTTTGATCCGTAGCCATAGACGCTCATCAGCTAAGCGTCATGCTCAATTGATCACTGTCATCCTTGTCAAACTCATCGAAAATGTCTTCCAAGTCCTCTTCGCTAGGCAAATCCTTCTTCTGCAAGGAGGCAATTTCACGGCAAAGCTGGCTGAACTCGTTAAAGTCCAAACTTGCATTTGCGTTCTTGTCGTATTTCTTCTTCAAGTTTTCCAGCTGCGCCGGAGATAAGGCCTGGGTAATGGACACTGCAAAGAGCATCGGAGCTGAACAAGGAATCTATTTTATAGGTACTGTAGGTGGTTGATTCCAGGCTGACCCCCCGCCACCCCCACTCTTCACCCTCGCGACACAGGAAACGTGAAGAACATGTGGAGAATTGACAAAACATGAACATGTGCAAAACTGCTGGCGCGGTTTTCTCCGCTAGCAACAACTGCAGAAACTTGCGAATCCACTACAATAAAGACATACCACCACCACCACCACCACCACCACCAACAACAACAACAGCAACAACAACAACAACAACAACATCAAACAACCAAGACCCAACACCAAACAACCAATAGCCAACAACCACAACCACAACCACACCAACTCATCAAAAGCAGTTCCTCTTCCAGCACCCAGCGTCCGCCATTCCTGCTTGTGTCGCCTCCGCCTGTGCCTTCGCCTTGGCATCGCTGGCCGCTTGGGCGCGGTCCGCGGGCTTGGGCGGCTTGGGCGGCGCAGGCTTCTTCGGCGCCATGGACGCCTGGAGGATCCGAGGGGAGGATCCGAGGGGAGGCTGTGGAGGTCGTCCTTTGGATCAAACGTACAGACCGAGAGAATGGTCAATGGTGACAATACTAAGTCACTACACTCTCTGGAACTCACATGGAAGTGGATGACATGGCCCCTTGGAAGACCATGAAATCCACTACAAACAGGTGGTTTTCCACTTCCATGTTAATTCCAGGGAGAGTACTACTTGGGACCATTAAGAATGAAGTTTTGAGGAGATCGCTTGGGAGGATCCAACCAGTCCGTGCTTCCAAAACCAGCTTTTCACCTGGATCGGCGACGAACATCGATCCTCCACCGAGGTCCGTCGCCCCAAATGACGTTGGCGGCACCGGACCAGACCATCGATCGACCCATGAGGTCTTCGCTGCTTTCGTTTGGGTCATGGCTTTCCAAGTGCTGAGACGCAATCGAATGGTCCGCTCCACCCTTCATGTCTGGTCCGCATGTCTGTGGAAGAACCGTGTCAGGATGACAGACCATTCCACACAATGACGACTCCCATGCCAGGATCCCCGAACCTTCAGGAAATGATCGTCAATCATCCCCCCCAGCTAAAGTA